GTCAGCCAAGTCACGATGCAGAGCTTCATCAAACAGTAGGGGAGTTTTTGAATCCCTGAGGAAGTTGTGTCCAAGTTAGTTGCCCCGGTATTCCAGCTTCAGGGTCTTTCCATTCAAAAGTGAAGATGGGTTGGCTAACCGGGCTCAGCCTTAGACAGAAGAATGCATCCTTCAGGTCGAGGACAGTATACCACCTGTGACTGGGAGGCAGAGAGCTCAGGAGATTGTAGGGATTAGGAATAGTGGGGTGTATGTCTTCTATTCTCCGATTTACTTCTCTCAAGTCTTGGACAGGTCGATAGTCATTTGTTCCTGGCTTTTTCACTGGGAGCAGTGGAGTATTCCAAGGGGATTGGCAGGGGCAGAGTATGCCCATTTGTAAAAGTCTTTGGATGTGGGGCCTGATCCGCTCTCGGGCCTCTCTGCTCATGGGGTATTGTTTGATTGAAATCAGGGTTGCTGATGGCTTTGGGGTGACCACTATTGGAGGCTGGTTGAATGCCAGTCCTGGGCCTCCTGTCTCGGCCCATGCCGAGGGGATTTTAGTTAGCCAATCAGATATACTAGGAGCTTCTGTTATCGGTCCCTCATATAACCGATGTTCATCTTCCAGCCGCAGGGTTAATACCTGTAGTGGAGCTCCATCCTTTCCTTTTACAGTAGCTCCCTTTTTAGTGAAGTGGATGTGAGCTCCCAGCTTAGAGAGTAAATCTCTCCCAAGAAGGGGATATGGACAGTCGGGGACCAGTAATAACGAGTGAGAGACCTGTCCTGTGCTGAGGTCCACTTTTCTTTCGGTGGTCCATCTGTATGTTTTTCCTCCAGGGGCCCCTTGGACCCAGGCTGTTTTGGAACTCATGGGTCCCTCAGTTGCTGTCAGAACCAAATGTTGAGCTCCTGTGTCTACCATGAAGGTAGTCAATTGCCCCCCTATCTTTAAAGTTACCCTCGGCTCAGAGGGGAGCTCCTGGCCCCGACTCCCCTAGTCTCCTAGAGACAGGACTGGGGTTGTCTTCTTTTGAAGTCTGTTCAACTTTTTTGGACATTCTCGAGCCCAATGTCCTCTCTCCTTGCAATAAGCACACTGGTCTTTATCCACTCGGGGCCTTCTTCTGTCTCCCAGGTCCCTACCTGGTCCTGGTCCTGTTCCCTGAACTACTGTGGCCAAAATTTGACCTAACTCTTTATTTTTCTTTTTCTCTCTCTTATCCTCTCTAGCTTCCTGCTCTTTTCTGATTCTGTCCTCTCTTTCCTCTAAAGTTTCTAGCTTGTTATAGATTTTCTCAGCTTTTCTTACTAAATCCTGTAAAGAGTACCCCTGAAGGCCCTCCAGCCATTGGAGCTTACCACGGATATCAGGAGCTGATTGTCCTATAAAGGCCATAATGAGATCTGCCTGACGCCCCTGGGCTGTGGGGTCAAAAGGAGTATACATCCGATATCCCTCTCACGAATGTCAGGAGCAGATTGCCCTATGAAGGCCATAATAAGGTCTGCCTGACGCTCCTGAGCTGTGGGATCAAAAGGGGTGTACATCCTATATCCCTCTATTAGGCACTCTAGAAACCCTGCGGGGGTATTATTTTTTTCCTGGGTTATAGCACATACCTTTGCGAAATTGGTTGGGTGCCTTCCGGCCCCTTTGAGACCCGCTAACAGAGTCTGGTGATAAAGATGTAGACGCTCCCTACCAGCCATGGTTTCAGGGTTCCAGTTGGGTCTGGTCAGAGGAAATCCTGTGTCTATTTCATTTGGGAGCAGAGTGGGTCTCCCATCCTGCCCGGGGACATTTTTCCGGGCCTCCAGGATGACTTGCTGTCTTTCTTCTGTGGTTAGAAGTGCCTGGAGGAGTTGCTGACAATCCTCCCAAGTGGGTTGGTGGGTGAGGAGAATAGACTCTATTAAAGCAGTTAGAGCCTGAGGATCCTGAGAAAAAGAGGGGTTATGAGTCTTCCAATTATACAAGTCAGAGGCTAAAAAAGGCCAATACTGGATCTGATCCCCTACAGTTTGGAGAGGAAAAACCTGGGCAGGCCAGGTTCCATCAGAGGGGCCCCCTCTATCTCTTCTCAGGCGGAGTCTGCTAGATGGCGGGGGGGATTGGTCGGGTTCGGTGGAATCAGGAGAGGGATGAGGTAGTTCTTGGGGTGGAGGTGCCTGCGCAGGTGGATAGGGAGGTGGAGGATCAAGAAGGGTTAGGGAAGCTTGGTCCTCGGGGAGGACTGGCTTTTGTTTTTTCTTTTTAGGGGAAGACTGAAGGGGTAGGAGAGAGGAAGTGAGACTCGAGGGAGCAGAAAGAGTAGGGGGCCCTTGATCAGTCTCCCTGGTTCCCCGGGGAGGTAGAACGGCCGTGCCCAAGATGTGGGGTTCCAGGCCAAGTCTTCCCAGATGACTATGTAGGCCACCTGGTCTGGATGTCTGTGTGGTCCTGGGTGGAAAATGTATTCCTTAACCTGCAAGATAGTAGTAAGGTCAAAAGTCCCATCCCTTGGCCATCTTTTTTCAAAAGAGGGCCATGCAGAGGAACAGAGACTCTGCCACTTCTTCTTCTGGACCTCCAATGATAAGTTGTGGGCCCTCTCCACGACCTCCTTTTAGTGTTCCAGAGTTAAGCTTAAAGGGGTAGTTAGCGATTGACCCATAGTGAGGGGAGAGAAAGAGAGAGAAAGAGAAAGAGAGAGAGAAAGAAAAAGAGATACAGATGCCACTCCAAACAATAATGACCAGTGAGTGTGCTTGTGGACGAATACCTATCGTTGCCCAGTTTTTCTTCCGCGGGGGACGTGAATTTATCTGGGATTTACACCTGGGACCCCCTTATCCTTTTACGGGAGTCTTTTGGCGGCAAGCGCCCTATGGCTTTTATTTGCTCGACCCGTGCCCGCGGAGCTTTTTCAGTGGCTGAAGAGAGGAATGGAGAGGAGAAGGAAGTACAGAAAAGCCATCTTGTCTCCACCCGTGTGGGCAGTTGGGGTCCGCTAAGAGGGACCCCATGCAAAGACTTAGGCCAAGAATAAAAAGGAAAGAAAAGGAGAAGGGGGAAGTTTAAAATAGAGAGCGTAGAGAAAAATACAATACCAGACCTTCCCCTTTTAAGATATTAACACACCATCAAGCACACACATACACCGCCTTGAATCACATTCGTGTGGACCGGTCCTTCTTACACCCAGACACGCGCTTCACTCACTATTTTCACTTTTAGGATCCCCAAGCACAAACACAGACAAACACAAAACAAAAATCCTTGCCGCAGCTTCTTGACTCAAAACTGAAAGTGCAGATCGGGAGGGAAGTAGCCAAGCCAATCTCCCTTTCTCTCCCGGGGTGAGGAAAGCTGCGCTGTCCTCCCCACTCCAGATCACTCTGGTCACTGAGGCCAGAGTGGTGGAACCAGGGGTCTCAGGGCACGTCTGCCACTCCCGCTAGTTCGCAGAATACAGACTTACAGGTCCTGTACAGGCACAATTACTCAGACGGAACGTTCCCAGAACAGGAAATAACTGACAGACATTAAGACCAAGAAAAACCACAAAGCTGCGCTGTCCTCCCCACTCCAGATCACTCTGGTCACTGAGGCCAGAGTGGTGGAACCAGGGGTCTCAGGGCACGTCTGCCACTCCCGCTAGTTCGCAGAATACAGACTTACAGGTCCTGTACAGGCACAATTACTCAGACGGAACGTTCCCAGAACAGGAAATAACTGACAGACATTAAGACCAAGAAAAACCACAAGACATCTGTCCTTGCCTCCTGCTGATCTGAGGAAATGGGTCTGGGGGCGACCGAATCCCGGACGAGCCCCCAAATGTAGGACCCCCCCCCCAGACTGGGGTACCCAACGTTCATGGGAGGTCGCACCCCAATAACTCAGTCCCCAGACCAGGAGATGCAACAAGCAAGAGGATTTATTGCAGCGTCTGCGCAGACGAACTCCTGCCTCACTCAGGAAGCAGAAGTCCCGAGCTCAGCTTACAAGCTTCCTTTTAAAGGGAAAAACCACAAAGCACAAGTGATTACTAAGCCAAGAAGCAGAGGCAGGAGGGGGGATTTTTCGGGTGTTTTTCCAGCTTGGGCAAGGAGCATGAAAAGGTCAGGTCAGTCAGCTCTTTCTTAGCAGTTAGAATTATTTTTACTTCCTTGTACAATTTTTTCAGGCTTGGGGAACTTAGTTTGAATCCATCATTCTGGGGGGCTTGGTTTGATTCCAACAGTTTATGTATTTTAATGAATTTGGAAAAATCTTAATTGACTCTCCTTTTGTATTATAGGACCCTGAGACCCTCTTCATTCACCCGCTACCCCCTAATCCCTCCAGACCCCCACTAATTGCTCTTTTATCTTCTGTAAAATGATTGGCTGCTGCTTTAGACATGCCTAGACATGCCCTGCCATGCCCTGACCCCCGCCTGCTATTCCTCATCCTCCTTCCAGGAAACTATAGATTAAGCAAGCCTGAGCATAAAAACTGCCCTATAAGGTAAAAACGGAGACTCCTGACCCCACAGATAACAGTCATCACATTCCACAGCCCTGAGAATAGCACCTACTAATAAGAAACGTCCAGGGCTGCATCTTAAACATCCAATCAGTTTGAAATTATGGTGGCACGCGCAGGCTCCTTGAACCAACCAAAATGTATCTTTGGTATCCCCCTCCTCTCTTTGTCTAAAACCTATAAAAGGCTCCACTCTCCCTTACTCTGGGCTCTCAGCACCGATCCGTTGAGTTGGTGAGGTCTGAGAGCCCAAGCTTAAGCCCGAATAAATCATAAACCTTTGCTTTTGCATTTTGGTGCGTTGGTGGTCTTTTTGGGGTCCAGTGGATGAGGTATAACAATATAAAATTATAGGTTTCACAGCCCAACACAAACACAAAGAATAATTACAGCTTTCTTATTCAAGCCAAAGTAAAGATATTAAATTCACATACCACTTTGAGTTTTTCTGAGTAAATGCATTTTAGAGTCAACAACTTGCAAAGGAGCACATCAAACTTAATGTTGCTCAAAGTTTCTTTATTAAGAAAATATTTCATGTATTTCCACAGACTGTTAGACTCATTTCTATGTTAAGCTATGCAGCATACACCCCTTTCTCTAATTTTCTCATGCGAAGTTAGAATGTTTTTCTCAAAGCAGAGCAAACCAATCAATGCAAATGGTTTTGAGTCAGGGCTGGCAGCCTAAAGAGCATGCTTAGAAGGCCATTTACCTGCCAACCCATTCTAATGCACTCTTAGCAAAGCCCCCCCCCCAGGTGGTTCATTCAATCTCCACTGTAATGAACAATCTTTTAAATGCAGATCAATTACTGGTAATGAACCTGAAAACTAACAGAATATCATTCATCCTAACAAGTCATTCTAGTAACACCCCTGGGCTCTCCTGGTTCTATTTATATTAAAAAACAAAACAGAAAATCCACCTCATTATAGCTGCTATATAAAAATACTTTTAACAAAGTGTTCACTCTGCTTGTATGCTTTCCTGAGTGCTGTGTGAGCAACCCAGACTTACATGGAAAGATGAGAAGGAATGAGGACAGCTGACAAGAGACAGCAGGACGATTGCCCATGACCCTAGCAATGTGAACTCACGGACAATTTTCAGAAGGTAAAAATACAATAAATACTATAATAGAAATATAGGGATTCATTTATTACTTTTTGGTTTACAAACAAAGGCACCCAATAATGCTTCTAATTACTCTTATAAAAGATTATCAGTTTACATTTAAAGCAAAAAACATAAAACAAAAATTCCCAAATCAGCTCCTACAGATAAACGAAGGAGAGAGGTGAAGATTCTTCCCTCCCTGCTTCCAAGCTTTATTACAGAGATTGGAAGGATGCTCATTCTACCTCATCCTTAAGTCAAAGAACATGTTTGACTATGCTTCTCTACACTGAGTTCTAGGACACATTAGCATTGCCAAGTCAAATTTGAACAATTACAATGACATCACAATTTACAAATATGTATGCCAGATTTCAGAGTGAATAGGAGGAAAAAATCCCAAATGTTTTAGAATACAGCTTTATCAAGTAAGTTAAATGAAATAAATTTATTTTACAGGCTGTCCTGTAGAATAATTTGGATGGAAAATACAAACAGAACTAAAAACACTGTTTAGCACATGACAATTTAGAATGGCGTTCCAAAGTCTTTAAATATGACTTCTATCCAAAGTCTAGTTGGTGGGGATTAACAATCTTACATATACTTCTTTCTAATTTTAGAACTGTAAATCCCGGGATGAGCATCATTTATTTACTACTCTTCTTTTGACAACAGAATTCTAAACAAACACACAAAATTAATTTGTGGCCTCAGCAACCTCCCTCCCGCCCCCAGTTAGCATTTCTTTCACTTTGCAGGCCCACCCATGTTGCACCTGATTCTATGGGTCACACAGACAATTCACCAGATTCAAGATCTATTTGGAAGACATATGAAAGTCACGCAAAGGTTAGCGTGTTTTCATTACATTGTGGAAATGTATCTGGAGACATGGAGTACTCAATGCATGTTACACAAGCCACCTGAAATCAAAGGCATCGCTGATTCCATCTTCACACACTGTTGTGGTCTCGCACACCTTACACAAGGAGCGGTCCTAGACCAGAGACTGCAGTGCCATTCCCAAGAATATATAGATACATTTATATACATGTATTTCTTTTAAAACAATGTTTAAAAGTTTTACTACACAAAATCTGGCTTCAACATGGAAGCATTTTTTTCCTTTTCAAATTATACACCTGCATGGGAAAAGGTGGTTTTCTTTATACTTTGTTTTTCCACAATAGCAAAATAAGCTTCTTATATACTATGTTTAGATTGACAAAAAAAAAAAAATCAAAATGTGAAGTTACATGTTACTTCTTGTACTGTGAAGTACCCTCTTTAAATACTTTCAAGATACACTGCTGATGATTTAAATGTAGTACAACTTGATCAACTTAATTAGGACAGTGTTATGCTGAACAATGTGTGATAGAATAGTAAACTACTAGTAGGATTTAAAGGGAATTATAATATATCAACAAATATACACCAACTTTCTTGCTATTATTTCTATAATGCATTTCTTTCTAAAGCTAAAACTACATGCAAAAAATGGTAACTTGAAACTCAGTCAGCATTTGCTACTTTATGTAGTAAAATCCTTTATTTTATACATATTACTTATGCATTATTTAATATTCTTGAAGGAATTCAGCTTTCAAGATCAAAATTGGTATGTGTTTACAAACACATGAGGACATATTCTTAATGTGGTTATTAGCTGCAGCTATATTCTCCCATAACACACTTCAGACAGCAGGAGTCCTATGAGAAACATGTAAGGGGACAAAAGCACATCTGTAAGAAGCCCTTCCCCATCCCACTTCCAATGAAGCCTCAAGAAACGCTCGTGCTCTGAGACACAAACACATCTCATGAGAGCTCCTTGGACAAGATTTTCTTGTCCAAAATGTGGACAAGGAAAATGTTTTCCTATTCTTTTTGAAGCTAATAGTTTTCCTGGGTATGCTTTTACTTTCCTTCAAATGCACAGGGCATACGTATATTGTTCCAGATTCTCAAATCCATTTACATCCATTAAGATCTTTAGAATAATATATTGCCCTCTGATTATAAAAGCAACTGATTACATATAGGAAAAAAATATGTATTACACATTTAATCAGAAAAAGAAAATTTGAATATGTCTTCACATTTGATGTCATTTATAGGACAAAATAAGAATACTTGGACTGTGGTTTTAACAAAAGTAAAATCCACCTCTTCTGGTGGAAAAAAAAAATCAAACACTAGAATCAAATACCCACTAATTAGCTACTATTCTCACTCAAACACTTTCCATTGCACTGAATATTAGAATTATATGTTAAGGCATGTTTTAATTAGTATGTCCCAGAATTGCACAGTTAGACTGGTCAATATTCCAATATCCCCACTTTTGCCCTCACCCTATCCCTTTTAAGTCATGGTTTTGGTGTGTATTGTAGATTTGAGCTGGCATACCACAGTGTTTTCACTAGGTTTTAGAAGCATAAACATTAAAATGTTACATAAAATGGACCATAATTTACTCCACACTCCAATTTAAGATGGTTTAATGTCTTGACAAAAGGTGAGATGACTTAAGTACATTTTACATTTTGTGCATTTAGATCACCATATACATAGATGTTCTAATGCTAAATTCTTGGTCTTCAGTATCTCATAGTGCTGGATGCTCGGAAGTATGACAGAAATTTGTAACACAGACTAACCACAAAGTACCAGATGTTTCTTGCCATTTGTGATCTTGCAATAAAAATGCGCCAGATCAGAATCACAAGGATAGTATTGAAACCATAACGGATATTACGCAACCTGAAAAGCAAATCAAGAGACAGGCTAAACAAAATATTCTAAGATAAAATATTTTTGGACAGCAAACATAGTTTTAAGTGTAATCATAGTTCATGCAGTTCTCAATTTAATCATAGTTCAAAGCCTTATTTTAATTTGCAACATTTGAAAACCAAACTAAGCCAGGCGTGGTGGCGCACGCCTTTAGTCCCAGCACTTTAGTCCTGGCAGAGCCAGGCGGATCTCTGAGTTCTGGGCCAGAATGATCTACAAAATGAGTTCCAGGCCATCTGGGGCTACAGGGAGACCCTCTCAAAAAGACCGAAGGGGGAAAAAAAAAAAAAAGAAAGAAAAAACTAAACTAAAAGTTCCTTAAATTCAGGTTAGCAAAATTCAAATAAACCTGCTGTATCATCTGGACAGTAGTCATCAATGTCTTAACTCTATCAACAAGGGAGTATAATAAAGTCTTTTCATAACAGTACACTCAGAATATAAACTTATTCATTCAACAAAAATTACTGAGCATCCCTGTGTTCCCACTACTATGAGAGGAATCAAGAACTTGTAGGTTAGCCAGGCATGGTGCCTTACACCTGTTACTCCTAACCCAAGTTTTCATAACTTGTCAAAAGTTCATTTTCTCGAGAACAATTCCCAATGAAAAGATTATACAAGATGCTTACAGTATTACCCTTTTGCTTTAAAAATGAATTTTTAATATATACTTTATTACTTTTATTTATTTGTGTATTTATGAGTGTGTTGCCTGATTGTATGGAAGTGCATCTGTGTTGTGCAATGCCTGTGAAGGCCAGAAAAAGGTGTTGGAGGATCACAAGTTTGAGGCCAGTCTTGGCTACAGAGTGAGTCCTTGTCCAAGAGTCAAACATGACATTAGCCTTACAAAAGACAACCTTTCTGTTCTTGAAGATCAGTAAGCATGTTACCTTGCTGGTGTTTCCAAATATTTTTTATGGCTTTTGATGGACTTTGGAGAAATTATTACATAATCTTTAGATATGTAATAATGTTGTATAAATTTCATTATTATAATCATGCAGGCCAAGATATAATTGTAATATAGCAACCATGGGGCAGAAGTAGAGAAAACAGCTTTAAATAAGGAGCCAAAATATCGACATTCTTTTTCTTTTCAGTTAGTAAAATATGGTCTTGAAAATTTGTGTTCTCATCTACACAACTAGCCATTCAGCAAACCCACAGAGCTGTGACACTGACAAGTGAGCAGTGTGAAAGTCTTGGATATGTTATAGAAGTCATAACAATACTACAAAAAGATGACTATCGATAGTCCCTGACTCTCTGAATGATGGATTATTGGTGATATTGGCTCTGATTTCTGAGTCTATAATTCTTTAAATCAGCATGTACTATTTCTACTAAGAGACTAAGGCTATTATCACTCTATTTTACAAATAAAATTCTATACTGAATGATGTTTTTATGTTCCTTCACTACTTCCAAATATTAAGACCAAAAATAGAAAAAAACTTATACAAGTAACTTCTAGTTTAAAAATATTTTTTTCCTGCTAATACTTTCACTTTTTCAATAGAAATACAAAGAAAAATAATAGTGATTTTTTCCAAACTAAATTCCACCTCAAGTTCAGAAGGACTGCCTATACAATAGCAAAGACAGAGGTTTCAATACTCTTAAATCCATACTACACAGTTGCAAGCCAAAGGTAAATAAGCACTTTTCTTAAATATACCAGATTATCAATTTTTTGCACAGTATACCAATTTACCAAAACAAACTTTCATATTTAAGAAAGACAAAAGGTGCATCAAGCCCATGTAAAACTTACTTGTTCAAATGTTTTCTAGCTGCAGGGAGGCCAGACATTTCTTCATTCAACACATATTTTTTAGTTCCCAAGCAATAATTCTCTATATATTCTGCCCAGTGTAATTGCCGTACATCAATATTAAAGGTCTATGTTAAAAAAACAAAAGCCATTATTTTCCTGACGTTTTTTCATAACTTGTCAAGTTTTCTTGAGAACAATTCCCAATAAAAAGACTATACAAGATGCTTACAGTATTACCCTTTTTCTTTAAAAACTAAATTTTAATATATACTTTATTTTATTTATTTGTGTATTTATGAGTGTATTGCCTGATTGTACGTAAGTGCATCTGTGTCGTGCAATGCTCGTGAAGGCCAGAAGAGGGTGTCAGATCCCCTGGAATTGGAGTCACAGATAGTTGTTAGCCAACACACTATACAAGATGCTTACAGTATTACCCTTTTTCTTTAAAAACTAAATTTTAATATATACTTTATTTTATTTATTTGTGTATTTATGAGTGTATTGCCTGATTGTACGTAAGTGCATCTGTGTCGTGCAATGCTCATGAAGGCCAGAAGAGGGTGTCAGATCCCCTGGAACTGGAGTCACAGATAGTTGTTAGCCAACACGTTGGTTCTGGGAACCAAACCCAAGTCCTCTGCAAGAACACTCAGTGCTCTTAACCAGTGAGATATCTCTCCAGTCCCTGATTAATTTTTGATTATATACTTTCTATATTATACAGACTAATTTTCCTAAAGAATACAAATGTATTTATTTTTATTTTATGTGTATGAGTATTTTGACTATATGCATATAATTGTACCACATGTGTGCAGTACCCATAGAGGCTAGAAGACGGTGCCAGATTCCTTGGAAGTGGAGTTACAGACAGCTGTTAGCCATCATGAGGGTGCTGGGAATCAAACTGGGGTCCTCTGTAGGAGAAGTCATAAAACTGTCAAAAATCAAAAAAACCAAACTGGTTGGGATGGCAGACAACTATTATGCCAGCACTCAGGAGGCAGGACAGTCTTCTACCAGGAAGACCCTGTTTCAAACAACAATACCACCCTCCAAACAAAATAAAACAAAACAAAACAAAACACCAGCCACATCATGAATGTTGGCTTAGGAGTTTAGTGACAACTGCTAGATCATTTGATGAAAAGGGTAGGTAAATCTAGAAAAGAAACCTTTATAGAAATGCTACTTCGTGGCAAAATAAGAGGGCTATCACTGCTCAGTACTCCTGATCAATAAGATACTCAAATATTGTTTTGGAATGACGAGGATATTATTTACTGTATATCATAAAATAACTTCAAAAGGGAAAAAAATACTTCTCCAAATAAATCACTAAAATATGAAAATATAGGACCATTAAGAGAGACAAAGACTTGATTTAACACAAGAGCTTTAAGAAGGTCTATACACATAAGGTGATTGGGTCCCATAGGAGAGAAAAAGAATAAAACAGAAGCAGTATCTAAGAACACAAGGCCTGGAAACTTTCCAAAAATGATGAAACATCAAACCACATGTTCAAAAAAACACCACCATATATAGGCATCTGAGAATCAGTTAGAAAGAAGCCCGGACAGATTACCTACAAAACAACTATCAGACTCTTAGCTAATTCAAACAGATGTAGTTGAAGCGGAAAGACCGTGTTTCCAAGGGCCCAATGAAAATTATCTGCCATTAATGTAAGATTCTACACCAGGGTAAATATACTTGGAAAATAAAGATATTTCCAGGAGAATAAAACCTGAAGCAGTCTGATATCACCCACAATAGAAGAACTGCACTAAAGGGCGTTCTTTAGGGCTGACACAGAATGATTCCAAATTCCAGACTGATTGTGGGATGCCTGAGGATGGGAGAAGGAAGACCAACAAAAGGTGACCACACTGCCAGATTATATGAGGATTTACCACACTAGCTTCAATGTGCCCCCTTCAAAGGATGTGGTGGAAGCTTAACCCTCAGTCCAAGTGTTGGAAGGTAGAAACTAAAAGAAAGTAACTACAGATTAATGCCAATCATAAAGGGTCTTGAAGCTGTGACTCCAACCTCCTGCTCTTTTACTTCCACCACGAGATGACACAAGGACAAGCCCTTTGTCAGACACCAGACAGACCCTCAATCTTAAGACTGCACGGTCTCTAGCACCATGAACCAACCCCTCACTTCACTATAAATTACTCCCCCTCAGGTATTCTGCTGTAGCAGGACAAAGCAGACTAAGATACAATCTAATTATCCAAGAAGAGGTGAAAGTGCCCATTTATATATAGTAGGCTTTGCTAAATTAAAAAAAAAATGCTGTAATCTCTAGAGTAAGCTACTAAAACAACTGAAACAAAAAAGTTTTTCTAACTTCTCTTTTTGAGACAGGGTCTGCCACTGCATCCCAAGTGCTGGGATTAAAGGTGTGTGCCACCACGCCCAGCTCAAGAATGTATTTTTTATGCAACTAATGTAGATAGGGAAACACGAAATTCTGAAAAACAAATGCAAATAAAAAACATAATGGGACAGGTGCAGTGGGGCATGCCTGTAACTCCAGCATTTGGGAAGGTGAGACAGAAGAACTACAAAGTAAGATTGTACCCAAAAGACCTAAAAACAAACAAAAAGACAACAGGAAAGTATTAGACAGGCCTAACAAACACAAAGCACCCAGAAACTTAAATCTAAAGTTAATGTTGGGGATGTAACATAGTTCAGCAGTAGAGCACTTGCCTAGAATGTACAAGGATTTGTTCCCCTTCCATGGCAAATATGAATGAATCAACAAATAAATAAATCCAACATTATCAGAGATTATGCTATGGATTAAGTCCTCTGAAAAAGGGTCAGCAATTATCAGATAACAACAATAACTGTACGTTGCTTACAGGAGACATAGTTAAAAGATAAGGAAGCAGACTAACCACAGGCTGTGTCTTGTAAGTTAAAGAGTGTTATAAAATACTCTGGCAAAAGATAAAATCCTTAAAAAAAAAAAAAAAGCTGTATCTTCAGAGCAAGGGTAAAAAAGAAGAAAAACACCACCCAGACTGAGGTTTCATGTCATACATAACTAGTAGAATGAGCTGTTCCTCTACTGTTCATTATGGAATTCACAAGCCACATGTACCAAATGTGGCCAGTCCAAACTCAGAAATACTGGAGTGCAAAACACACAGTGGATTTTCAAGGCAAAATATGAAAAAGTAAATGGTCTAAATTTATGTTTTTATATGTTCAAGTCATTTTTGGTATATCAGGTTTTAAATCAAATACTAAAATTGAAAAAAAAAAAAAAGAAGGCCCCCTTTTGAAAGCTAATCCTGAACCAGTCCTCCAGCATTCACCTGAGTTAGGCTGACACCCTAAGCAGATTTTTATAGGGGCCCTGCTTATTGAGGCCTCCTCCCTAGTTCCTACCAAGAGCTACAAGGCCATCGCCTCTGTCCTCCCAGGGTTTAACAGTTGCCTTGAACATTAAATGTTAGTTTTTTGTCAATAGTGACTTTACACAAATAGAATTACATATTATTTTTTCATTCTTCTATTTCATTCTTCTGTTATTTACAGTTTGGACTAATAAGATTAACTGTTCTGTAACCATTCTTTATTTCTTATGAAGAGAAAAAAAAATCCTTATTAGAAAGCTTTAATTGCAATATATGTTCCCCAAATTCCAATAGAATCTTCAAGAAATAGGAATTTACAAGAAAGCAAATAATGCTAACCATCAACAAGAAACAAAGTGCCATGAGTGAGACCAGCTCAAACAGCAGCAGAATCAGATGCTGGAAGTCATTTAGGACTGAATTATCAGAGAAAACTTAAAACAATTATGTTAACATGCTTCAGAGTACTCTAGGCAGCTTAAGGAACGTTCAAGATTAAGTTGAACTATCTAAAACTGAAAATACAAAACCAAAATTCAAAACTCAGTAAGAAGACTTAGACACAACTGATTAGCTGCTATAGAACTGAAATAAATTATTTATATTTCAGTCCAGAAGCAAAATATGAAATTAGGATTAAAAGCCTGAAGGATAAAATGGTCTAGCATATAACAGGAAGAAGTTAAGACAATAGTGACGAAGCAGTATTTGAAGAAAAAATGTCTAAAAATTTTCCCAAATTGCTGAAAAGACACCCATCTTCAATAGGAAGCCCCAATAAAGAGAGGGAAATTAAAAAACAAAAAAAGAGCACATCTGTAACAAAACTGCAGAACATTAAGTAAGCAGGGAAAATCTGAAAAGGGCCAGGAAAAACAAATGACTGACTTTTCAACAGCAACAACACAAGACAAGATACTCTCCAATGTGCTGAGATAGTGTTCTGGAAAAATAAAGACTGCCAGGGAATCAAAAGCTGAACATTCACTAAAATCTCCTAACTAAACAGTATTCTGGTATTCTAGATATATCAGATAGGAGAAAATGGCAATAAAGTTTCAAGGGCAAAGGCTCTGGTACTATATAGTCAAATCTAAGTGAAAACTGAAGGAACAAATATTTCCTAATTATGAGGCTTGAATGGAGAACTAAGTAATATATGAACACATACATGGTTGGGGGTGGTTATCACAGTAAAAAACATACTAAGATTTTTAAAAGTATTAAGATTCTAATTACTATTAGGAGGAGGTTACTGAGGATAAGGCCCTAGGTTCAATACCCAGTCCCATTACTACTGCCACACCCAAAGGAGGTGATTGAAATCATTTAAGGCTAGATGTACATGTTAAAAGGAACTGACACACAGTTTAATTTTTAAACAAGCAGAGAGTGAAATCACAAAGAGTATACAATATAGAAAAGGCAATTTCTGAATCCCTGTTCCCTAGCCCCCCCCCCAAAAAACTAGAGAAAATAAGGTATTCAGAGAAAAGAGAAAGCATAAAAATGTTAAAGTTCTCTTTGAACTCACCCTTATGGGAAGAGAGGATTAACATATCAAGTATATTTTGAAATGCTGTCAATAAATTTCTTTAACAATTCTAAGACAAAGCAATTTTGGTCTTTCTATAAATATAAACTATGATTGAAGCACTGAGAGACTACAACTAGATCTATGACTTTCTTAATGGTTACATTTTTCTAATATAAAAAAATAGGAGCTGGAGAGAAAACTCAGCAGTTAAGAAAACTTGCTGTACTTCCAGGGGACCTGGGTTCCACTCCTAGCACCCACATGGCAGCTAACAACTGTCCATAACTCCAGTTCCAGGGATCCAATGCCCTCTTCTGGCCTCTTCAGGCATTGCAGAACATGGGTGCACTTATACACATGCAGGCAAAATACTCATACACATAAAATAATAAAATATTTTAAAAAATAGAAAATACTTGCCTTTTTATCTTCAGGGTTTAGTTGGTTCATTAACATACTGACATTATCAGTACTCCAAACCCAAGAATTACTTGTGAAATATTCAAGAAACACCAAGGCTCTGTGAAGACGAGTTATCGTTTTCATCATCCTGTATTACAAGAATAATTGACAGATTCATATAGTATACAGATTAGGAAAAAGGTCCCATTACCACCCAGGAGCCCATCTCCCACCCCAATTACGTGATTCAGTAAGTATACCAAACCAGCAGGGAATAAGAATATTTCTGTATCTTGGGAGAATATTTTATAAATCCAAAATTTAAAAAAAAATGGAGTAGCAGCAAAGGGAATTTAATATCGCCTACATAGAGTTCTGCTGACACACACACAGATTCTTGAAGGATATATTCTTAGAAAAGTTTAAATTCAAATTCTCACTTTGCTTTTTAGTTAATCTACACTTAGTAAGAATTCATAACCCACTATGTTATAATCCCAAATCTTCAGGATCACTGAAGCAAACATACAGAAATATTCCTTTGCCATTTAATCAACTCTAAAAAAGGAAAAAAAAATCTTTCTCTTTAACAGTGACTGGTACCACTCTTGACTGTCTGGATGTGCTGTGAAATCAATGACTAATCTGGGAACTGTCTGAAACACTCATCACCCCATGCCTCACCAATGTCCTCCTTTAGAGCCACAAGACAGTATAATACTTTGTTTCTTTTTAAAGGGCAAGGAGCCTTAATCTTTTTATCTGCCATCTGTTTATCACTGCTCACCACAAGTCATTGATATCATAACAGCAATCCAAGCAGTAACATCTATGTAACAATGGTCACCTACAATAGTAGGAAGAGTTTTTTGAAACCAAGTAGACACCAAAAAATCAGAACTTCTGAAAACAGAAAAATCATTTGGATTCAAAAGGAATTCCATTTACATTCTCACAGTAATGATTAGCTAATGTATATGAAATTTAGAAAGTCATCAAATTAGGGCTTTAGAAACAGGAGATATAGGAGAAAATCAGAATATTAGAAATAGCAAAGAAAATAAAAGATTAACTAAGAACCTCTGCAGACACACTCAATACATTCAAAGAAACCCAAATTGATAGCACTTGAAGAAAACAAGGTCGGAAGAACATCATAAAGATGTTCATTCAATAAAGTGGCTCCAAAATAAATTCTCCATTAAACATGAAAAGAATTATAAAGCAGCAAAAGCTATATCTAGGAATAAATCATACAGATAAAACTCAAGAAGAGCTACATTAAACAAGTTTTTTTCCTAAACAAAAAATTTAAAGATATAACAAATTTGTAACAATCAGTACAATATTGCAGGCAGTGCAGTGTACTTTAATTTCATCCCAAACACATACACTGTTAACATGGTTTTCCAATGTTTAGTTTACTAAAACATTTTTCTTCTTGACTCCTTTTTAACTGACAATTCTTATCTAATCTCACCTACAGATTCATTCAGTTGATAGTTATCCTAAAATCAATCCTGGATTCAGTCATTCCAAAAATAATTCTTAGAAGAAAAAAAAAAAATTCAAGGGGCCAGGTGTGGTGGCTCATGCCTGTATTCCCACACTTGGGAGGGTGAGGCAGGAGATCACTGTGGTGAATTTGAAACCAGCCTGGGTTACAGAGTTAGACCCTGCCTCAAAAAAAAAGGAGAGGAGGATTTGAAAATCCATATATATGAGAAATTTACAGAATATTTATCGGGCATCAAAAGCACTGGATTGAATACTCTGGGGGCTAAGGACACTTAAAACTGCACCATCAGTCTGGCTGAACATACCATAGAGTGAATGTCTGTTGACTACGCTGCCTTCTATGTTTTACTACACAACTTCTGCAACAAAATTAACCACAGTTTACTATAAGGAAAGATCTTAATGATTCTAATCTAGGGTTTTTTCAACCTCAGCAATAAGAGAGACAAAAATATCTATGTACTAAGACAACTTAGCAGCATCCATGGCTTCAATGAACTGGGGAAGCAGGAGACAGGCCACTCACTATTGTGGTAACTAAGAATTAACTCCAAATACTGTGAAATGTCCCCAGGTGAGAATCATGTAGATGAAAAATACCAGGTTAAGAGATGTTAAACAACAACAACAAAATAAGACAGTGAAGCCACTTTTTGAAAAGATGCTGTTTTTAACAGTAAAGAAATATTAAATATATTTCAAAAGTAATTTATAGTGTGTCTACATACATCCTGGTCTGCATTATCAACCAAGAATCCATGTAGTAAGAATAAACTTATAATTATGTCAAAATACATAGCAAGTCAGAATTTTATCAAGCCTACACTCAAATCATGTAAGTGAATAAACTGGATTCCATGAATGACACTGAGTTTAATGTACAATGAGACTTTATATTAGGGTTCTAATATAAGGTGTAATGTTCAGTATCTTGACCATATTCTTAACACCTGTAAAATTGCCTAAGCAAACTTTTATGTTGTTATTTTTATTTTTTTGAGACAGGGTCTCATCATTCTGTGCTGGCCTGAAACTATGCAGCCCAGACTAGCCTCAAACTCCTGGAAATCCCCCTGCCTCAGCTTCTTGAGTGCTGGGATTCCAGATGGGTGGCACCATACCCTGCTCCTTGCTGCTTTTAAGACTATATACTCCCAGAGTCTATGATCATTCTTGCTTTGATACTTAGAAGGCTTCATACAGTACAAATCCCAGTTAAGATTTTTTTACTTCATGCATCTGGTTTGGGGAAAATTTGAATTTTCAAAGCTGTCTGTGCATTATCTTCTATCCTACAAACTAATTTATCCTCTTACTTAGACTACCTTCTCATCAAAAGTCGAAGATACCTCCTGTAGCCATTAGAATGAGGTGAAGGGACCAGAGGGTGGGTCGGAAGGGTGACCAGCATTTTCTGCCTTGCTCTGTCATACTCACCCTTGAAGATTCAGTCACCTTGTCTGCTGTCCAACGCCCCCTGAGGCTGCCATGCTGCAAGGAAGCTCAAACTAGGCCATGTGCAGAGAACACATGGAGAGCCTAATTCTACATGAAGAAAGCTGCCTGGCTGCCCAAGTTTATCTACACCCCTCTTCCCATTACCACGCTCTCCAGTGTCCCTGCTCTGGTCTATCTGACTGAAACTTAAAAGACCTTGATCCAAAATCACTCATCTAAGTCTTTCTAGAATTCCTTACCCATAGAAAAATTGTGGCAGAAATAAAATAACTTGCTTTATGACACTATGGTTGTGGTGATTTGCTATGGAGCAGAGTAAGACACCTTAGTATTGGGAGAGATTGCTGTAATAAAAACCTAGAGTATGTGGCATTAGCTCTATCATTAGGTGGTAGACTTGATCAAGACCCTTGAGATCATTACTAAAATATGGAAGGGTCATGAAAAGAAACTATTATAAAACTTTGAAGTGGCTGATAAGGGCTTACAAAGAAGAATATAGGTTGTGGCTTTGGCTCTATGGTATAAACACTTGCCTAGCATGTAGCAGGGCCTATGTTCCCTCCACAGCACCACAAGACAAAAAAAAGATCGGGGGAGGAGGATATTGTTGGAAGCTAAAAGGAAAACCAAAATTGTTACCTATGGTAACATGGACAATAAAAACTAGACCTTTACTCCAAAAATTTAATCTAGCCAAGATTTCATGGAAGAGGACAAAACTGATCTTAGAAAATAAACTGTTTGAATGAAATTTGGAGAAAATATAAAAGGCTAGTCAGGAATTACTTAAGAAATGGTTTCTTAAGGCAGCGTTTGTCTGTCATGCATGCATATACATGCTAGTCGGCAGGTCCTGAGACTTATACTCATAGGGGCAGAACTGGATGAGGAAGAGGAAGCAAAGTTGCAGTGCCTGGTGAAGCTGAAGGGCAGAAGACGCAGTTCACTGCACAGGTGAACTGCCACATGGACTACGCTGGACAAATGTATGGAAATGACATGGCAATTTCCTGGATTCACACACTGAAAGCACTGTCAGTGGACCTCTCCGTTGACACTACCCTTACCACTCATAGTTGGTTTGCCAAGAATGTGGAAAAAAAGATGACAGTAGGCCATTCCTTAGGAGAAGAGAAGCAGCAATACACTTGACAGGCCAGTGGGGGCCAGATGCCAACCCACTATCAGGTTATTACCAAGTCCATGAATAGAAACAGATCAAATGTTCAAAAAGTAAAATTTATTTATCAGGAATTCAAAAATTCCAGGTTATATCACAACAGTTATTTAATAAATGTAAATGCCCCACCTCCATCACACACAAGCCACTTTTTTTTTTAATGGAAAAAAGAATGTCTCAAGAGGGTAGAGTTAACAGCCTCTGGGAAACTGAGAGTAGGAATGAGTCCAACCTGGAAACCATCAACATACACCTGGACTGCAATTCAGAACTGTTACAGAGCAGTGCCGGCTGTGTATCTCCATGTTCCCTCTTCCTGAAGGGCACTATCTAGAGCCATAATCTTACATTTCTCTCAAGTGTGGAGTGTGTGGGCAGTTGGTAACTGCTTTAATTCAAAGGTTTTCATATAATACATGTGAGGAGCTATATCTGCAATGTTATTCCTAAACAACCTTATCTGCAACAAAATCTTATTTTTAAATGGAAAACCCCAGGCCTCTAGCTGATGTCACAGAGATTTGTAGAGGAAAGAAGCAACTGCATTGTTCAAGAATGAGGAATGTGAATTCTTAGGGCCAGAAGGTTAACTGTTACAGACTGTACTTTCCAAAACTGGATGAAATACCGTTTGTCTCACTTGCTCGTTTACAGGACTGACTGTTCTCTAGAGCATTCCCTTTCCTTACATCTGAGAAGATTTGTGACTTCCTTGTGACTAAAAGAAAAAGGCAAGCTGGGCAGGGTAGAACATGCCTATAATTCTGGCAGTCAGAAGTCCTAGGCAGGAAGTTCAATTTAGGTCAGCCTGGGGCTATACAAGACCCTATCTCAAAAACAAACAACATAAAAGGCCAAAGTGATAATGTATGATTTTCTTAGGCAGATTACAAAAGGCAAGGTAGCTTCCATCTTACTTGTTCTACCACCTACTTCCTGTTGAGGCCTTCAGTGGCCATCTAAAACAGTGTAATTCCCTTACTACCACGACCAGGCCTTGAGATGAACCTATTCTGAGCATTCCTGAGTGACATAAACATATCCTGCGCCCCCTTCCACCCATCAGACTTCAGCCTTTTCAGCTCTATCTGATCTCACCGAAATGTTCAAAACCAAAACCACCCAAGCTGATTCCTTTGCAAATTCCTGATCCTAAGAGCAATAAACAACAAAAGGATAATGAAATGGCTGTGGCTGGTTTAACCACAAAGTTCAAGATAACTTACTATACAGCAACATCTTCCCTAAAGCACTTCATGAACTTTGACTACTCATTTGATTTTTGTTTACTGAGCTCCCAACTGTGGCAAATCATTCTAGAATAGCTTAAAATGTCTGTTTTGTGAGGACTTATTATTTCAATAGTCAACATACAGAGTTAGAAACATCTTGAGCAAGTCAAGACACCAAACGCCCCTACGGGTAACTCAGATCATGACACTGTAACTGGCAAACACTTAGACTTTTTTCAGCAATTGATGGAGGTTCTAGAATCAGTATTTCCTTTATATATTAACACTCAAATCCTCAACTCGCCAATCAAAGGCACCAAAAGTAAATATTTTGTAGAATATTTCACTAAGTGTGTGTGGTAAAGACAGGAGAATTTTAAGTCTGAGAGGTTTCAATGACAAAGAAAAAAAAAAAAAGAAAGAAAGAAAAGATATTACAACTACAAGTTTTCTTCAACTTTTTAAAACTAGAAAATTAGCCCCAAACTGTAATTATCATATTATAAGCTGAATACACAGCTAAGGTATTTAAAACAATTTGCTAGAAGCATCCTCCATTTTTCATATGAAACTGCACCATCTGCTTCAAAGTAAAATATTTTACCCTTAATCCCCTGTAAAAATTCACCCCTAGGTTCTCAATGGGGGGAACTCAATTTCAGCTTATAATAACAATGACAACCCTGATAGAGGACATTTCCCATTATTATAGGATTCTGGAGTATCAATGACCCCATAAGATGGGATCCATGCTTAGTCTCACCAGATGTCTCCAACTCTGAGGAAATGTCCTAAAATCATGACTGTGATTGTGATTAATTTGGTTAGTAATTCTAAAGGTAAGCTCATGCTAGCGACATGTCGTCTCTCCAGCAAGCTTCCACCACCTTACCAATACAATGAATTTACTGCTATTCTTCTTACCGCGGTTTCTGACCTCCCAACCTGAGTGCAAGATCGTGCAATAATGCAGGTACTGTATGTCTGACACCCTTCCAATAATGAAGCTTTAGTTTGTTGTGATAGAACTTAAAAGAGGGGTCCCTGACCATTTGGTTTAAAGGGTTCATCGTGAAGGAATGATTTAGATAATTTCCTGTAGGAAAAATAAGCGTTATATTTTTATTTGTTATTCAGAAAAGCACCTAAAATTAGACCTAGAATTCAACATATGACAATAAATTTATCACCTTAGAACAAATAGAGTGACTTACAATACTACCTGTGCTTTTCTGACAATGTCTTACATTCAAGAGTCTTCTCATTCACAAAAGGCCATTAAGCCTTATCATAAGCATAAACAAATACAGAGTTAATAAGCATTTTAGTGTTAAGCATGGGCTGTTTAACAGTCAGAGGAACAGATAAGACAGAGCTAGTCACCATTACCTTGGGTTTCTTCCAGTCATCCTGAGGTAGATATCATACAGGAATGCTGGGGCCTTATGGCTAACAGCAATCCAGTAATGATATAAAAGGTGATTGGAGGTTAGATTTACATTGGGCCGTCTGAAGGCCTGTTCGAGAGGATTCCTCTTGAAAGTGGAAATTACATGGTATTCTGAGGAAGAAAAGTGTGTAACAGCTTTGATAATAACCATGTAATGAAGTTTTGAAAAAAAAAATCATGTTTTTACAATGCAAAATATTTTACCAAAGATTCAGAGTTCATTCATTTAAAAAAACAAGCTTTTCTACTCTCTACAGAAGCTAAGAGAATATGGGCATTAAGACTGCTGATTACATGGTTTTAAAACTGCCACTATTTTCATTAAATGAATGAATGTTCACTAAAATTCACTCTGAAAAATCTGTTTAATGTTTTACCTAGGTCAGTTTATAATGCCACTTTCTACATTTCACCTCTCACGATAGCTTCTTTCTTTCTGTTCCTCTTTCCAGACTCTTATTACTGTACTTACTTTAAAAAGAAAAGGAAAATTATCACCCTTTGCTTATGAATGTTACTCAAATTAACACACATTGTACAAGTTTAAAACAACCCCAAATTAACCTCTTCTGTAATTTATTTAGGTTACTCATTTTAACACAATCAAACTTTGTATCTTCTGTTAATACTTTAATGGAAATGTATGCTGAAATATTTGCTAAAGAATAATGTTGAATATGATTTTTCACAAACCTACAAAACACAAAAGACTATAAAAACCACACTCATTTAAAGTGTTTCAATATTCCTGAAGGACTACTATTAAAAATATGATAAAATTACCAGAGATTACTTTTTTTTTATATACCCTAATAGACAACTTTAAATTTAAACAAAAATGCCACAGAAAAACCCTAGGACAAATGTCATGGATGATTTGCTTTAAGGTAGCCAGGTGTGGTGGGACATGCCTGTAATCCCAGCACTTGGGAGGCTGAGGCAGGAGGATAGCAAGTTTGAGGCCAGCCTGGACCACATTGCAGTTCCAGGCCAGACTGAGCTACACAGTAAGACTTTATCTTAAAAACAAAAAAAAAACAAAAGCTGGGGATGTAATTTAGTGGTAGAGTGCTTGCCTAGCATGCACAAGACTTTGAGGACTGCGGGGAAGGGGAGGGGGGTTTCCATTCCTAGCACTGATTTACCTTAAAAACAAAATAGTTCTTCAGAGATAGCAAAAATTCAATTAGAAATAAAATCACATCTATTTCAAAAATGAATGCCATAAATACATTTTACTTCTATTTGAATCATTCAATAATTTAAAAATGAATGTGCTTCAATAGTCTTTAAGTTATACTATTCCTGTTTTCAAACTAGTAACACACTACCTACTGTAGATTCTGACTTTAAGTAAATTAAACAGAATAAGAAAGGTTAGCAGAATATATCCTGGCAAAACGTACTCTACCTTCCTAACTCCTTCATTTATAAACCTGGGTACCACCTGATATGCTAACTCTTATGAGTGTTAGGTAATACTGCCTACTGACTGGCAACACCAAGCCTGAGGGTCTCTCTCATTTCTTAAGGAGGAAATAAAGACCTGTTCCCATGCCACAGATAACCTAGGATGGGCGCTGCACATGGCAACAGAAGAACAGCAAAGGTCAGACAAGGACAGGTGGGAATATACATCAGGATAACTTTTTTTAAAATTATTATTTTTTAATCATTTTTTAAAATTTTTAATAACTATGTGATTAGAAGAAGCATTTCACTACAGCTTTAACATATTCAGTAACACACTCCAGAGCAAG